ATTATTATTCCACCGTCGTCGCGAGGATATCGCAAGCCGGTAATCTGCGAATGAGTTATGCAAATTCGGCTGCGCGCGCGCGCCCTAGAACGCAACGAAATATTCTATCGGTGACAACGTTATCGCTTGAATTATCTCCTCGGCCGCAGTGAGCCGGCGGGATTGCGAGGAGGCGCGCGCGGAAAGTCCTTTCCTGAAAAGTCACGTCGAGATATCCCGCTATCTGTCGGCGTATCGATCGCCGTCGCGTCTAATCACTCGCCATCATTTATTCCGGACTAACGGCCGATCGAGCGATCATCGCGCCGTCGGCTGCATTACGCTCCTGTCGCGCGCGAACGATGATGGACGTGGTCGAATTCTAACGTCGCGTCATCCTGTCGCTTCGCTCCGAATTTACATATCGCCGCATCGAGTATTTTATCGGCGCTCGCGAATAACTGTTATCCCCGGTTGCGTGCAACCGAGCCTTATCACCGCGATTGCAACGAGCCTGGTTACTTAAGGGGATGCTGGAGCGATCGGTAATCACCGACATCACAGGTCCCGTCATTCTCCGAATGACGACTTTACAACATTCAAGTCCCTTTTACACGCGTAAAATGCACACACGTGCAAAGTGCAGGGTGGTAAATTGTAGATTAAGAATGAAAAAAGACTCGAGAAGTGTACATACCCGCGGAGCAAAGGGAAATTATTTCTTATTTGTAGCGTCAAAGAAGCATTAATAATGCTCCTTTGATGCTGCAAAGGGAATTTAGACCTCCCGGGGAAAGGTTTTAAATTTTACGTTGAGTCTTCAAGTGGAGAAAAGGGAAATAATTTCCCATTTGTAATATTGAAGGAAGCATAGAAGACTTCTGAAGGTTTAATGTCGAACTGAAATTTCGACTTCGGGTAGTGTGTTGCAGAATTTGGTGCGTGCAGCTGTCAACTTATGGAAACATTCGCTTAATATAGAAGCCATACAGTTTGTATGTACGAAATGACTGTACCCCGCATTTTGCACTACGCTAAAGAACAATAAATAAAGGTCAATAAATAAAAGTAAGATTAAAAGCCTGACAAAAAAATTAAGTGCTCGAACGTTTTATGCATCTATACGCGCGTAGATGCAGGACGGTAAGTAGAGCAGTAATAACGTATAATTCTTTATCTCTCTCTCTCTCTCTCTCTCTCTTTCTTTCTCTTGTATTATTCACTAATCCCATCGCACTTTCCGTACACTTCTATATCCTCTTGCATGCTCATTTAAGTATATTTGCTCCTATATCACAATAAAAATATCAATAATTTTAACCGATATTTTGCACTTAGATAAGAGCGCTTTCTCGTCGAAGTTCGGCCAAGTCGTTCTAGCATTCCTTTAACCCAGTCACTGCTACACCCTTTTCCTCGAGTGATCCTAAAGTGGCAAAAACAAAAAATTCTCGAAAATTAATGAAAATTTAAACAGAAAGATTTTGATGATGCCGAAAACAAAAATTTCAAATTTTCAAATTTCAAATTTTTTAATTTAAAAAACTTTCGTTGTAAACCCAAAATGGCGGCTAATACAGCAAATTTTTATTGAAATTTAATGTTAGTTAATAAACGTCGAAATTTTTCAAATTATTTAAATCTTATATTTAATTCATTGTAAAACTTTAACGTAAAATATTTCAATGACGAGTGTATTCGAAAATTCGAAAAATTCTCAATTTTCTGATAGCCGTGTCTTTTTTCTGAGACAACATTTTGCAAATCGGACTCAAAAATCGTGTTCAACATACCCAAAAATCCCTTCAGTGGATAAAATCACTTAGGAGTTGCAATATAATAAAATATTTTATGACGAGAAAATGCATTCTCGCACCGGTGAAGGAAAAAGTCCAAAATTACGAGAATTCTCATCATCGACAGTCAAGGGTTAAGAACGTTTTCCTGCACCGTTTGCGTTATCGCGCTCACTCAATGATATCGCGAGTCCACTCTGACGAGATAGCGAGACGCGATGTTTGGATAATTGAAGGGCCAGTCTCGCCTCCATTATTTGCCTTGGCTTCGCTATAACGCGACTCAGATTCACAGATGCTCATTATCGTGCGCGTCTCTCTTCTGGCACGTTCTGAATATATTTCTTCATCAGCCTGCTCTTTCGACAATTACACGTCGCTCACCTCCTGCTCCTCCTCCTCTCTCCTTCTCTACCTCCTCCTTCCTCGTCCTCTCGATTACGGTGGACAAGTTGGTGGGGCCGCGAAAGGAATGGTCGTCTTTCGGGCAGGGCAGAGCCTTCGCTCCGGCGCTAAGAGCCGAATGAGGGCGGGCAAGCGGCGCGAGGTCCTTTCCGAAAGAGAGACGGACAAATACGAAAAAGGACAAAGCGGCGAATAAAAACGGGACGCGTCAAACGACGAAGAACGGAGCTAAATGCGAGATAGACAGAGCAGGGTTGCAACTGAAAGAGAGAGACAATGACGGACACCTCACCGCGGCAAGAACTACGTACAATTGGGGGGACACGAGAGGGAGAGGCGAGGTAGAGAGAAAGAGAGGAGAGACCCACCGAGAGTGCCGAGAGAGGTCCGGAGGTGAGCTGTGAATCGAAAGAGAAGCCGCGGTACGTTTCCTCGGCAGGGAGCCCCGGCCAATCGGAGAGCGGTGGGCGCCGCGGGTAGGAGGAGACAGTTCCGCGCCGACAGGCGACGTAATCACCCGCGGCCGTGTCCGCCGCTGCTCTCTGGCCCCTCCGGGGGTCTCTTCTCGTTCCTTCTCTCTCGCACCGTGCCCCTCTACCCAGCCGCCGGGGACGACTCCGCGGGGTGAAGGGTCCCGGCGGTCACCGGCCGGGCCCGTCGGGTCGCGAACTTGCGCGTTCGGACGCTCTCGGCGGCCACGCGACAAACCAGCCTGACGTTGCCGCCGCGCGTTCACCGGGTTGCTCTCCGATCAGGCGGACGATGACGCGTGCCCCCGGGGCCTGTCGCAACACCTGTCCCGATGCTGATATGCGCGCACGCGAGACGGCTGTCGTTCGGCGATTCCGCTCCAGAAATTTTGCCGCCAAGTGTGCGCGCTTTGGAGATCCCGGTGTTCCCGAAATTCTCCGGAATGAAATCAATTTCACTCAAAATGAGCGGACGTTCGGTTGAAAACGATGGTGAAGATAGCGCCACTCGGAATCACCTGAGAATGTTCAGTTTAAACTTAGAGTGGATTCTTGATCCATACAGGTGGGCGTTTCGATCGATTGGAGTGAGTTGTTCCCGTGACGGTGGGATATGTCAAATTGATTCTTCGATTGGAGTGAACATGTTCGGCGATCGTGCGGGGCCCCTCAGTTTTGCCCGTTTTCGCGCTTAAAAGTCTAGATCGCAGCGTTCCCTGAAGTGAAATCTCGTTCAAGATAAGTGAACATTTGCTCGAAGCGATGATGAAAGTAACGCTACTCGGGATTGCCAGAGTGAATGTTCAATTGAAACGTGGATTCTTGATCCATATAGATGGATGCTTCAATCGATTGAATTGTTTCCATGACGGTGGATGACGTGGTCAGATTCATTCTTCAATTTCGAATGGAAATATTCATTCGACAATTTAGAATAGAAAGTTCATCCTACATGAAAAGTCACTTGAATTCGTTCGTTCTATTTTTTCAGTGGAATTTTACTCGACGATATTTAGTAATATTTAATATTTCACGGAGAAAAAAAGATCGGTTGAATTAACGAACGACAATGAACGAATCAAACTCGTTTTGGTTGAAGGAAACAGATGTTCTGGTAGTAAGAACTGAATTTTGTTTATAAAAACCAGAAAAACTATTTCAGATCGCTTCAACACAATTTGATTCATTGTTTGGTCGATTGTCACATTAATTAAACCAAATTTTTGTTCTTCGTTTACATATTTATTATTCATTATATTTAGTATTCAGAGTCGGATCTTATATTTAAAATTGTCTGAATTTTATCTTAAGCTGCTGTATAGCTAATGAAACGATCCTTACATTTACACTCTTACATTTTAACCCTCGCAAGGAAAGGTGGAGTAGCAGGACATGAGCAAAAGGGTGGGTTCATGAATAATCTAAATATATGAATACACGCTTGGTTTGATTAAAACAAAGAAAGGGCACGACAATCGTAGAAACAATAAGCAAGTATATATTTTTCAAAAATATGATAATAATATAATAACTAAACGTCTTGCTGATGAACGACCCTTTTCTTCCTCGCGATGGTTAACCCTTACATTTTAAGAGATGTGTTTTGTGAATTTGAAGCAATCTTAAATCTAAAGTTACTACATGGAAAGAATAATATATCAACAGCAATAGTATTCGTAAACTATTAATAAGCTAAGACTCGGGTTATTAAAACATTTAGTATGATGTACTAGTTTCAATAATACAGCTTATAAATGAAGAAGATTCGTTCCGAGTAACAGCTGGTGCGCTGCTGATGCGGCAGCATTTTTCTTCTGTGTACGAATATTGCCTTTAGAGAGCGTGTTAGTTAGAGTCGCGTGGCCTGACTCGAGTGATGAGAGGAGTACTATAACATGAAAAGGGCATAGATAACGGACGATGATACTGCAGATTAGCGGACATGAAGCGTAATCGATGGCACGACGCGCTGTCGATATGACCGTTCGATAAGTGTCCGAGAGGGTGATAGCCGGCGAAAAAGTAGTCGAGGACGCGCTCGGCGAGGAAGCGAACTGTGCTCATCTCCGACGGCGATACGCCACGTCGTTCACGCGACCAGGCAGAGCATGTCGCTTAAAGGTAGCCTCATGAAGACGTAGACGCGGCGTTTATGTCGCATCGTACCGCCCCGAGGGCTCGCGAAGTCCGCTATAATCGCGGCCCGAGGCGAGAGGGCTGTCTCTGTCTCTCTCTCTCTGGAGTGTTTGGATGAAGCATTAAACTGAGAGACCGGTTGAGTATCCACTAAGAGCCTAACAACGTCTTTATACCCGGCGATATTTTATGCGCGCTGGTAGCCCACTACGGCCTACGATGATGCTCGAGACGATCCGTTGATAAATATTGTGACGGCGGAATTTATCGTGAAGTTATGAGTATCATTTATATCCCCCCCCCCCCGTTCTCCTCCCCAAGCGTATCGCGAAGATGGCGTTGGGACGATCTCTTCTCTCGTTTTAACGTATTACGCGAGAATCGCACAAGTCGCGATGCGTGCCAGAGCCGGGTCGGAAAATAACAACAAAAAGGCAACGTGTGTCTATCTCCCCTTTTTCCGCCCGTTGATAATCGTCGCGAGGATTGAAAAATATCACTCTCTCGCGGGCTTCCTACCGCGTTTCGAGTCCGGAGTCGTCGCGGTAGACCGTGGTCGGTCGGGGTGCGCCACACGTTGCTCCGACGTGGTGTAATTTGCTCGTTATTTGCTCGTTACATTCGGTGGTAATATGAAGATGGAACGATGCAGCTGGAGGCTGTTTAACAAAGCCGCTGAAACGCGCCGGTGGAGGCATCAAGATGATAAAATCGTCTGGTTCCGCGGCGACTCGAGATATCACGGTCGATTGTGAATCGCGCGTTCTCGAACGTTAAAAATTAAATGGACGGTCGGGAGAAATATATCGTCTTCGTCAGAAGCTTGTCGAGAGAGAGGAAATTTGTCGTCACTCTCGGCCTCGACTACATCTTCTTCTGGCTTTAATCCGACAAATATAGTAGTAGCAATATGCGTGTAAGGTTATCACCATTGATACTGTAGTAAAGTTTATTAGGAAAATAATTGTCTCGGCTATAATCTTTTGCGATTATATAGAGCGGAAAGAAAATTAATGTCAATTCAAAATCGATATTTTCACGTATGTAAACGAGAATATATAATATTATATGAACATAAAACTTACTATTTTATATGAAGAAATTTTACATAGTTCCACTAAACTAAAGAATAATTTTTATGGATTTGGAAGGAAAAATATCGGATGGAAAAAATGATATCTTCAAATTGATACAAGTAGTTTAGCTTTCTCGTAGTTAACTATATCTTCTTCTGACTTTAACTCCAAAAGCAGTAATAACAATATGCATTTAAGATTGTTATCACTGGCATTATAGTGAAACTTATTAGAAAAATGATTCTGACTATAATCTTTTCATTTATTTAATTATACACAAGAAGAAGATTAGTAACAATTCATATTTTCATATATAAACAAAAATATATAATATTATATGAAGATATAAAATTTGCTTGCATGAAGAAATCCCTTATAATTCCATTAAACTAATAAATAATCATTTTTATGAATTTAGAAGAACAAATATTGAGTAGAAAGACCGATATCTTTTCAAATTTATACAATTCCTAGTTTTTCTTTCTAGCCAACTACATCTTTTTCTGGCTTCAAGAATATAATAATAACAATATATACATGTAAAATTATTATCATTGATATTATATATACAAGTATATCGTAAGACTTAAAAGAGTGGTTTTCTCAACCAAAATTCTTTCTTTCACTTACGCGACTGCAATTGTAAGTGCCAAAAATTTTTTTCCACTGAAGCGTATCGCGCTATTTTTTATTCGGTGAAATCGGGCCTCGCGAACGGACTGGATTCGAGACTGGATTTCTCCTTGAATTTCTTCCAAACCGAATGACGATTCGCTCCTACTGATTCGCATGCAAATACCGCTACATATATATATATATATATATATGCATAAATAAAGCACATCGCGCGTCAATAATGCGATTTCTCACAGTACGTCGCGCGGTAATAAATTCACCGTTGAAACGGGCGTGACGAATAAAAGTGTAAAAGCCACTCGGGGCGGTAGGAAGCGGAACAGACAGAAAAGACATTACCTACCCCTACGTCCGGCGCGCTCGAAAGAAGGCTGCACCTGCTGCTTTGGCAGAATTCGCCCGACCTACGATTGCATCGCCTCGCGCGCGTACGTCGAGGAATTGTTTTTCCCTGCGATTGGGATCTACCCGTGTTACTTGATCGATGAGAATCCATTTTCGGAACACCTTTGACGGGCGAAAGCGGCGTATTATCGTTATCGGCCATCGCGTCGCGGCTATCGCTTTGTATCACCCGGCGATCCCGTTTGCATTCCTAATGTTCCGAGAATCGTACGACTCGATATTATTTATGCACGACGTACGTTCTGTGCGTTGACGATTAGACAGAAGTTAATACGAAACTAAGTCTGCCGTTCGCGTGCTCGATCGCCTCGTCTCCGCCTTCTTTTTCTCCCCTTTTTCCCCGAGATCTGAATTTCGTACGTGCTATCCGCCTGAAACGAGCCATTGAACAAGAACATTGTTTATTTATTCGTTCGCGCCATTAGCCCGTTGCGAACGAAAGAGGCTGCTTTCACTCCCGCCGCGCGAACGCCTCTATTTTCTATTTCTCGAGTTGCGCTCCCCGTACCGCCCAGTGCCGCGGGCGAACCGTCGATCGACATTCGCAGGGCACGCTGCGCCCATCTACGCCCCTTCTTTAATGCCGAAAAATAAGCCAGCAGACGGCGTTGCCGCCCTTATCTCGCTGCTCCTCGCTGGTAATCGACTCGAGCGAGAAAGAGAGGAGGAGAGGGAGCGAGCGAATGCGATTCCCTCATTAATTCGCGGGTGTACGGTCGCGTTAAGGTCTTTATTTACGTTATCTGCCGTTGCGCACCGCGGGCGCGTTATCTCGCGCGATCAAAGTATACGTTGACGCGACGGCTAATTCGCCAGCGGCTTCTCACCTCGACGGGAGGTTTCGCGGTCAGACTCAGGTACCAATTCGTCGCTTCGGGGTTGCGAGCATCGCTCGCGCTTCAGCTGTGAGAAAGCCGCGCGCGCCCGCATTTTTCCCGCGTTCACCACCCGTCGAATTCCACGATCGGTTATCGGCCGCGAGTAACCCGATCTAACGGGCGATTCCGCGTGAGCGTGCCTGTGTAAACCCTTGCTTGATTTAGCCATCACGCGTCTCTCCCACCCGGCTGGACATCGTGATGTTCGCGAGTTAATTGGCCCTCAGATTATCGCCCATCTCGAATTTGCATTATTATTAATAACGGTCCTGAAACCGAAAGGTGTTCCCCGAATGGTGAGATAACGAGGTTCTCTCTCTCTCTCTCTCTCTCTCGCTCGCTCTCTCCACGAAGGTAATTTCGACATTCCCGTCTCTCGCAACGGACGACGTGTATACTAATTATGAACAAATACCCGCGCGTCTCCGGGGCGAAATTGATTACCTGTGCTCGGCGCGTTAATTAAATAATTTCGGCCGGCGCTCAGATCAAGCGAGAATTTCGGGGCTGTTCAATTACCTTATCGGGCATCTCTCAGCGCGCGCGTCCCCGGCTGCGAGCTGACGCGGCGCGGTCGCGTTTCGCATGCGGACGCGTGCAAGAAGGTCGTGGGCTACCGGACTTGCAGTCGCGAGGATAGGACCTCGTGACGAAAAGGGAAGAAAGGGCCCCGCCCCTACCAAGGGGCCGCCGACTCGTTATAAGGCGTCAGGTGCCCGGGACCGTTGACGCGGCGGCCGTTACCATCCCCAGAACGCCGTGCGCGATAATAATGTATACCATTAATGCGGAATACCCGGCGAGGAGGCGCGCCGCGTGCGTGTCTTGGAGGAGCCGCTCGCGCACCACCCTGCCCTCGGACTCGGGGCCATGTGCGCACCTCCGCGAAAGGTGAAGGGCGTTTAACGGTCGGAACGTTGCACGTTTTTCGGGATCCGTCGGCGGATCAGCAACAGCTGATCACCGTTCGCCCGACCGACCGTCGTGCCTGCTCTTCTTCCTTCGCTCTATTTTCGGCCATGTGCTTCCCGCGCTTTTTCCCCGTTCTTCCTACCGCCCACCGGGCTAGACCATTTCTCGGCTGCTCCTTTTCGGCACACCCTCCCCCCCCCCCCCCCCC